GTTACTAAAACGAAAAGAAATATATACTATTCTAGAGGCCCAGTGCACAAAATTTGTGCACGAGTAGGGTGCCTAGGCAATCAGGGCTGTTCTGTGGGGCGACTGGCGTGGGGGGGCCCCGGCTGGCACCCACCTTGTCTGGCCTGGGACCTGAGGGCTTGGGGCAGCTCTTGCATTGAGCATCTGCCCCCTGGTGGTCAGTGCACATCATAGCAACTGGTCATTACACTGGTCTTTCTGCTGTTAGGTCGATTTGCATATTAGGCTTTTATTATATAGGATAACCTGATTAGTTGGTCAATTTTAATATTGAATACCTACTCTGTGAGGGAGCACCATAATGCGAACTCTGGGAAGAAAAAAATATATTCTCTGTTCTCACATAACTTACACTCTAACAACAACAAAAAAACAGCATTCACAAAATGATGGAAAAGCACGCTCACTGTATAACAGCAGAAATGAACATTGTGTAACAGCAGAAATGAGCACCATTTGAGTGGCTGCATGCGACAGGACACAGATGAGAAACAAAACTAGGTGGGGCTGACTCTAAAGGCTCCTGAGAATGATTTCATGGCTAGATTTTGAAGAACAGCATAGTTTGAAAAACTACCAGGGAGAGATCTTCCAAAAAAGAAGGGATGAGCTGTAACCGGTTTGGCTCAGTTGATAGAGCGTCGGCCTGCAGACTGAAAGGTCCCAGGTTCGGTTCCAGTCAAGGGCATGTACCTTGGTTGCGGGCACATCCCCAGTGGGGGGTGTGCAGGAGGCAGCTGATGGATGTTTCTAACTCTCTATCCCTCTCCCTTCCTCTCTGTAAAAAAATCAAAAAAATATATTTAAAAAAAGAAAAGAAGGGATGATTTGTGCAAAGGCACAGAAATGAACAATTGGACTTTAGGATGGTGAAAAAATTATATTGGCAGGAGCAGAGATTGGGATTAGTAAGATTTGGGGGAAGAGAAGATGAGGAAAATGTAACTTTGAAACTAATCTGGAGAATTAATTTTTTTATATGACAGACAATGCAGAATCACCTTTATTTGTTGAACAAAAAACTAAAAATAACATTAGAGGAACATTATTCTAGCAGCTGTGTGTATAATGAACTGAAGTTGGGAGAATGGACATGCAGATCAGTTAAGAGTAATCTAAACTGCTACTGTCACTACACTGTATAAAGAAAAAGGAATAGGTGAGTTCCAATAGGTAATTAAAAGGACTGGACAGAGGGAAATGACCTTTTCAATAAAATGATGCTGAGTCAACTGGATAGCTGTGTGGAAAAAAATGAGCCTTGACTCTGACAGCTCACAACATAAATAAAAATTAAAGCGATAAATCACACAAATGTGAATGGGAAGAGCTAGGAGAGTGACCCTGGAGTAGACAAAAGTTTCATAAAAAGTACTAACCATCAAAGAAAAAATTTGATGGACTGGACTTCATTAAAATTAAGAATATCTCTTCTTCAAATGATACCATTAAGAGAATGAGAGAGGTATTTCCATAGACTAGGAGAAAATGTTTGTCAATAATACATTTACCTGACAAATTACTTATATCCGAATTACACAATGAATCCCTACAAATCATTGTCATTCTATAAAGAATGCCTACAAAGTAAAAGACAACACATTATTCTCTCTCTTCTAGAGGTTTAAAAAAGAGTAAGGTTTTCTAGAGTTACTGTAGTGCATGTCAAAGGCATACTACTTATCCTTATGCTGCAGAAGACTATTAGGTAATGTCAGCACTATCACAGACATGCCATTTGCAGCAATATATCAACTCTATTTATTTCAAAGGAAAAATTACTTCTGCATTTGTGTTTCCTTTAAAAACACAAAACAACAAAAAACAAACAAAAATAAAAAAACACACAAAACAAGTACAAACGGCCAAAAAGAAGTTATCCAAAAAGGATTCACATAAGGAATTGTGAAGGTAACAATTAAAGGCTATTAATCAGATAAGACTTTATGTAAGAGACTGTTTCTTTTTGCATAGTTTAAATATTGGTTCTTTCTTTGTATTCTAGAAAGGGCTGTTTTTGTTTCTTGACTCCTTTCACTTTTCTCCATTCATCTGAGGGTCAAAAGTTATCAAAAGAAAGGTAATTTAGCCCTAACCGGTTTGGCTCAGTGGATAGAGCGTCGGCCTGCGGACTGAAAGGTCCCAGGTTCGATTCCAGTCAAGGGCATGTACCTTGGTTGCAGGTACATCCACAGTCGGGGGTGTGCAAGAGGCAGCTGATTGATGTTTCTAACTCTCTATCCCTTTCCCTTCCTCTCTGTAAAAAATCAATAAAATATATTTTTTAAAAAAGGTAATTTAAATGGCATATAAATATTGTTATAGAGGCAACTTACAACAGAAAATCCTTATCTATTATCAAAACTTGAAGCACAGACTGGGAGATGTACTTAGATGTCAAATGGTCACATCTAGAGAATGTTAAATATTACAAGACTTAATCCTTATGAAGCCACAGTTTCCTATGGGTGAAAATCACAGCACCTTCTAAACCGAAGATTGAACTCAATTAAAGGCTAATGAAAGATTAATAATTATTATCTTGGGCATTGACCTTTTCTTGTTTTCTGTATCCATTTTGTTTAAATGGAGCTCAAAATGTTTTCTACACTAATTTATAAAGCAATGAATCCTATATTCTGGCTATTCACGGACTTAAACAGCAATATATATCAGACAACGGTATGGAAGGAAAACTACTCCAAATACTCTGGGATCAAATTCTACTTAGATTTAAGGTTTATTATGATTAATGAAGGAAGGAGATTCTGAAATGATTATAACACACCCATTATAAGAGCTTATTAAAGTGCTGCTCCTCCCAAATTAAAATTGTGAGATAGCTAAAAAGCAAGAGTTCCATGCTACCTGAAAGCTTGTTCACAATAAAATTTCTTACTGAGACAATTTGTTAAAAAAGGAACAGGTAACTAAAAAACTGTGTCTATACAGAATCCAGGTTGCTTTTATAAAATAATCCTGCAAATATTATTTCAGTAACAGCTTTACAGCACAAGAGAAGCTGTATTTGCTACCATTATCCATAAGCTTCAACCAAAGTTACAGTAAAGGATAAAGATAGCTAAGTGTGGCTCTTTGCTGAAGTCACACTGAGCTGCGAGCGGCTTCATGGGCGTCTTTAGGAGTCAGCAATATGGCAGAAGACATCCAGACCAAAATCAAGAACTACCGGACTGCTCCTTTGACAGCCGCTTCCCCAACCAGAACCAGACCAGGAACTGTTGGCAGAACTATCTGGACTTCCACCACTGTGAGAAGGCAATGACTGCTAAACGGGGTGATGTCTCCGTGTGTGAATGGTACCAGCTTGTGTATAAGTCCCTGTGTCCCATATCCTGGGTTTCAGCCTGGGATGAACTGCCGGACAGAAGGCACGTCTCCTGGGAAGATATGAACCAGGCATCCTCCATCCTTCTCCCAGGAAGGTGAAAGGGGGCCTAGGTACATCCCACCCTAGAATCCTGAATCATGGCTTAACTGATAATAAATACTTGTTAGAAAAATGTAAGACTGTGTATGTGTAAAAGAGCTGGATTACTGGGCAAGAACCTGGGTTGGAAATAGTACCTGGACCAGTAAGAGGGGCTTCAGAGTGAATATTTTTTAATTTTCTTTTGTTTTTAATTTTTGTTTTATTAAAATTTGACCACCTTTTCTGTGCCAGACAATAGAATGAATGATTATATGAAATAGCCTTAAGTGCCTGTATATGCTGAAGTTTATGTGTATGTTCCCTCAATTGTCAGGTAATTTTTAAAACTTTTCTTAGGTAATGAAAATAGTATAATAAAAACACATATATGCCCGGCTGGTGTGTCTCAGTGGTTGAGCGTTGACCAGTGAACCAGGAGGTCACAGTTTGATTTCCAGTCAGGGTGTATGCCCAGTTTGCGGGTTTGATCCCCAGTGTGGGTCGCGCAAGAGGCAGCTGATCAATGATTCTCTCTAATCATTGATGTTTCTATCTCTCCCTCTCTGAAATCAATAAAAAAAATGTTATTAAAAAAAAAAAGATAGCTAAGTGTGCACGTAGGCTTTTTTCCCCCAAGTTTTCAACTCTGGCAAGATTTCTAGTCTCAGTTTACTGAGACTTAAGCAACTTTCAAGCTTTATTAGTTTAGAAGATCTTCATAATTTTCTAAACCATACTATTATCAACTCCCAGATTAGAAGAAAGGGGTCTTTCATCCATTCTGTGGTCTTTCACCCACTGTGTGCATGTGTGGTCACTGCTATTCAGACAGAGCCTCCAGGGCAGTATAGTAGAAGTTTGCTGTCCAATTTGCAAACCTACTAGGTATAAAAGCATGAGGAAGACCAACTCTGTCTAAGCAAAGGGACATTTCACACTCAAATCCATTTCACCTGCTCACCTTCCATGATGTATTGGCAAGTGTTTGCGATGGATTCCGTGACTCCCTTCCACAAAAGCATTGGGAGGCTTGTGGTACACAGAGGCCAAAGAACCAATGTGGCAGATTAGCTCATCCAGAAGAGTTGGCTCAATAAGATCTGTCTCCTCAGAGATCAGTGGCTTCTCAGACAAGACTACTTCTTTGGCTGTGACAGGGTCGGTTGAGAGAAGCCGCCAATAAATATAGCCCCTATCTCGAAGGTCAGGATTATCAGAATCCTAATGAAAAGAGAAAGGCAAGGAGGTTTAAATGAAGCTGTTCAGAAACCCAAACTGCTGGATTTATTATCAAGGCAATGCTGTAGTGACTTATATACGGTGGCTCTTAAGACTCAACTTAGACTCAATATAGTTTTAATAGTCATCATTCTATTAACTCTATGTTTCAACGAATCTAAACATAAATTGAGATGGGTTACTCTTAAAATTCAAAGCCAAGTTGGGAAAAGCAAAATAAAGTTTAATCTAGTAAAAATTAATTGATGTAATGGCTTTGGGAGATACAAATGTTTTTTAACTGCTATAAATGTTAGGATTATTCATGAAATACATCTTATATACTGCACCCACACCTTCTTTCTTCACTCAAATATTTAAGTATCTCCTATGGAGACACTGTCTAGACCCTGGAAATAGAGATAACAAACAACAGTGTCTGACTTTAATGAGCTCACAGGGTACTAATTATTACAATTTAGTATGAGATGTGACTATTTTCTAAATAAAAAAAAAAACTGTTAAAGAGAGCACATGGTGACACTTGAAACTTAATGGTCTTGTTTTTCTGTGGTAGTTTTAAAACAATTTCAAGTCCTAACTGGTTTGGCTCAGTGGATAGAGCATCAGCCTGCGGACTCAAGGGTCCCAGGTTCGATTCCGGTCAAGGACACGTACTTGGTTGTGGGCACATCCCCAGTAGGGGGCGTGCAGGAGGCAGCTGATAGATGTTTCTCTCTAGTCGATGTTTCTAACTCTCTATCCCTCTCCCTTCCTCTCTGTAAAAAATCAATAAAATATATTTAAAAAATAAAAAAAAACAATTTCTACATGCTCATCACTAAAAAAATGTTTTATCAATGCCACATCATGATTTAGAACTGTATAATATAAAAATAAGTCTCTCCAATCATCTGGCCCTTCCCCACCATTAACTCCCCATCCCCAAAATAGCCTTGTTAACAGTGTGTTATTTATCTTTCCAGACAGCTCCCACACATTCGCATATTTATTTTATACAAAACCAGTTTCATACTATATATACTGTTCTGCAAGCTGCTTTCCACATTGGCACATACAGTTGTAGTCTGCCACTGTATATGCAGCACTCATTATTACTTACTGGTGCCCTTCTGATGGACATTTAGATTGTTGCCTATCTATCTATCTATCATCTATGTTTGTGATCATTAAAAAGTGGCAATAAATATCCTGGTATGTACCTCTGAGAGTTAAGTCTATATGGTGGCATTTATTTATACACAAGTTGTTTCAGTGGCATCATGTTATTAAAATGCAACAATAAGTCCTCGTTTCAATTTTTGTATTTAAAACTCACATACAAAATTAGTTTCTTTATACTAGGCCACCTTGAGGGCTTCCACATGAGTTTATAAGATGAACAGGTTCATTATTTAGCCACCTAAAGCACATGTAATTTAGCTCAACACCAGCAATGATCCAGGTGGTTTTGACTACATAGTTTTAAGTGGTTTTTCTTAGTCATATATTGTTGGTACTTACCAGCCATAAATATTGGGTTCTTATTTCACAAACTTGAGAAAAATATACCAACTTCCAATAGAAAAGAGTTATATAAATGTGGTTGTCCTTTTATGCTAACTACTCAGATATCATTAATTGGACAGAAAAGGCAAGTTCAGAGAAACTGCTTAATAATTATTTATAGCCAAATATGAAATAATTATCCACAATGATCTGAAAATTATTAAGGTCACTTACACATGTTGGCTTATACACAATAGTGTTTCTGGCCGGGAAAGCAGGGAATGGGTATTCTCAAAGTCATTCTTAACTTTCAGACCAGAAAAGCAGCATAACACAGTGGATAAGGTCAAAGACTCTGGAACCAGGCTACCTTGATTTGAGTCCTAGCTCCACCCCATACTAACTAGGCCTATCTGTCTCAGTTTCCTCATCTATAAAATAGAGTAGTAGCAGTACTGAGATTGAGCTAGCATGTGAAGTGCTTACTAGAATGCCTGGTACATAGTAGTAATCACTATATAAATGATTGTTGTTATGGCTTATTTATACCCTGCCCTGTTCTACAAAGAAATTTAATGAAGTTTACGAAAATGCATTCAAGGCTAGAGAACATAAATTAGGAAGATAAATGCATGCCACAATGACCTACACATTTTCTACAGGAGATCCTTACATTTGATTCTAAGGTTTGAACAACTGATATAAAAAAGAAATCTAGTTAGGTAAGTAATTTAGAGGGTCAGGTAACTACACACCAATGTATAGGAAAATCTAAAACTGGTTAGGAATTTGTTTGATGGAGCCTCATAAAGAAGAAAACATAATGAAATGAAGAATGACTTTGACAACAACAGATCCACATAGGATAGCTTCCATGACAACACTTACTACAGGATGATGGTATCAGTATGGGGTGGGCAACAGTAGATTTACAGTTGTGGGTATGCGAAACACAGAGTTAATAAAGCTATTGTAATAATCATAACCTGCATGTCTTTTTCCATGCAAACAACTGTACTAGTATTACTGTAAACCTATTTTTGCCCAGCCCTGTACATAAGAGTCACTATTTTTATATTTTACAGATCTAAAGACTGGTGAACCTTTCCAATTAAAACCTCCACAAATGGGGAGTTTCATACAATTTAAAATCAACCCCACGCCTTTTCCAGATTTCTTACCTGTGTTGCCAAACTCAAGACCTGCTGTACCAGCTCCTGTGTTTCTGATGGTTTCTTGAGAAACAGCTTCACTATGGCAGTAAGCAGAGTGAGCTGCACCTAAGCAGACATAATTTAATAGATAAAGTGAAAGACATTAGCATTATTCATAGCATCACTTCCAAAATAGTATTTCCAAAATGAATTACTATGGGGTCTTTCTGATTTTGATTAAGAGACAAACATTAAAACTGAGCCAATATCAACAATAGCAGTCAAAGGTATCCATCAACTGAAAACTCAATAGACTACTATTTCCAAATTGCATTTTTTGGCATCAAAATTGCTTATCTGGCCCTAACCGGTGTGGCTCAGTGGATAGAGCGTCAACCTGCGGAATGAAGGGTCCCAGGTTCGATTCCGGCCAAGGGCATGTACCTCGGTTGCAGGCACATCCCCAGTAGGGGGCGTGCAGGAGGCAGATGATTGATGTTTCTCTCTCATCGATATTTCTAACTATCCCTCTCCCTTCCTCTCTGTAAAAAATCAATAAAATATATATTTTTAAAAATTGCTTATCTGTTTCTGACCCAGATAATTACCTATATTTCTGAAAGCACATGCTAACATTGTGATGATAATAAAACTGGTTCCTGACCCAGTCCTTTATTATATACTTCCACCAAGAGCTACAATATTGATGCATATATGCATAACCCATGGACACAGACAATAGGGTGGTGAAGGGGCGGGGGGCTGGGGAAGGCTATGGGGGTCAAATGGGGGGAAAGAGAGGACATATGTAATACTTTCAACGATAAAGATTAAAAATAATAATAATAAATAAAATAAAAACGGGGAGAAAGAAAAAGCTACAACTTTGGGAGAACTAGGGAATCATCTGTCATACTGGGGCAAGAGCAGAGACAGTAGAATTATGCCAGATCACAGCCAATTAAGAGTGGGATGCTGAACCACAAAGCTACTGGCTTATATGTGTTCCTCGTAAAGGCCTATTACAAACACTGGTGGCCCTGGCCAGTTCTGCTCAGTGATTAGAGTGTCGGCCTGCACACCAAAGGGTTCCCAGTCAAGTGCACGTACTTCAGTTACAGGCTTGGACCCCAGCCCAGGTTGGGCATGTGCAGGAGGCAACCAATTGATGTGTCTCTCTCACATTAATGTTTCTCTCTTCCCTCTCCCTCCCTGCCTCTCTCTCTTAAAAAATAAAATAAAATAAAAATTAAAAATAAAAATACTGGTGGACTACTTACATAAACTTTAAATTGCAGTGAGTGCAAATGCTAGGGGGGAAGGATTTAATAATTTATCTGCTTCTCTGGGCTTCAGCCCTAAGTTCAGGTCTCTCACTTTTGGTACAGGAGAGATAAAGTGAAAAGGAATCCAACCATACACAGAAAATCTTTTCAAACTGCACATGCCAGCCCTTACGGAAGTCCCAGGTGAAAACACCCACTATAATAAGCTGTTAACAATTACTAACAGGAATGGGTAATTATCTTTGGGTGGCAGAAAATGAAAAAGTGGTAACTACTGCTCTAAGCCAGTAGTTGTCAAAGTGTGGTTCTAGAGCAGCAACAGCAACAGCAACAGCAGCACCACCACCTCCACCATCACCGCCACACTGAGCCTTGTAAGAAAGGAAAACGCTTATTAGGCCCATCTCAGACCTACTGAGTCAGAAATTCTAGGGATAGAGGCCCATCAACCTATGCTTTAACAAGTTTTCCAGGTATTTCTGAGGCTCATGGAAGTTTGAGGACCACTGATCTAAGTTAAGTTGTTTTGATTCCACCAGAAATCAGCACAACTAAAATAACTCGACCCTTTGGGAGAAAAATATATATAAACCTCTCTCACATGAAACTACTGAACATTTACTTTCCCTAAAATCTTCCCCAGAAGGTCTATGACATAGGAAACAGATGGAAACTTACCTGGGTGCTCTCATCATGAAAACCCTCCAGGAAGCTCTCTAGTAATTCATCTGCATTGTCAATTCGTTCAGCATATTCGCCCACAATCCAAATCATAGCTGCTCGCGCATCTGGCTCATCCAACGAGTCTAAGTTCTCACACAGAGTGGCAATGATGCTTTCATACCTGATACAACAATGAAGGCAAAACTGAGAACTCTACTTAACAACAAAGGTTACAGGTAAACCATCAGACAAGGTACTCTAAACCTAACCACCAAATATAGAGGCTTTTTAGTACAGGATTACACATGTATTAAATTTCCCTTCAATTATCCTATCTAATAAAAGACAAAAATGGTAATTGGCGTATGACCGATACCCTTTTCATTGACTAATCAGTGAGATATGCAAATTAACTGGCAGCCAAGATGGTGGCAGGCAGCCAGGCAGCTGATGCGAACAGGGAGGCTTGCTTGCTTCAGTGAGGAG